AATCAACATTTACATAGAAAAATAAAAAAACAGATACATACTCATGCTAAATTAAGGTAGATGCAATTTTATGGATTTAGATACCAATCAGCTAATAAAATAGTTTTTCTCTTATTAACAAGTGATAGTCACTTTCAAGACCTCAGAATAATAGAATATACGATTTCCTTCTTATCCAAAACACTATTCTATTTTTATGTAACCACAAAGACTAAACTGTATGTAACACTTTATGTTTAATTTCAATAAATCATAATTTTTCAAATTCAGAATAAAATAAATTTCATTTCGAATAAGGTTCTCAATCATTGGTTTCATCAAATATTTTAAAATAAGAAAATGGATTACAATTTCTATCAAGTCACTACTACATGACCCATTCAAATACATTAGTTTCAAATTAAAATCCTAGTCCTATAGCAGTTTCATCCGCCCCTTCACTGAGTCCGATACTGATCGTCTTGATTACCTGAAAAATGAATATAAGAGTGAGTACTCTACACTACTAAAACATACAATTAAGCATAGAGTCTCACCTCCAGCACATTTTCAATACATTAAACAAATACAAGCACAGGCAACATTATCACATCCATAAGCACAATTCATGAACCTATGCATACTCACACCAGCCACACTCACATTGACACTGTGATAACAGATTTACACCATGAATGGTCGCCGGTTACTCCCGCCTTACGGATACCACTTGGGCAGTCACGGGTGGCTCAGCAAAGGTAATGGTCAGAGGTCTAACCAGGAAGAAAGTGTATGGCCCGTGGTGCACCCGTTCCATAGTCGATGTCACCACCACTCCCTCTTTTCCAGGGTATTTCTACCGTCCTCATCTCCCACACCTCCAGTGTATCGCTGAACCATTCACAACACATTACAACAGCGTTACACGCCCTAATCACACACATTTCAGTATACGGCACATAGCCCACGTTTAACAGTACACAGCACTAGGCCCATATTTCATTTTTACAGTACACATAGCACACAATTCATTCAAGACACACGGCCCCTAGCCTATTTCTATTCAAATTACACGACCCTCGGGCCCACATTTTCACAATGTTCATTCAGATATACACACATGTATAAACAGCACAAGTGCCCACATCACATATCTCAGTAATTTCCTACCCTCTATTCAGCCACATCACAATATCACACAAAATATCAGCAAATCACACATAAAGGAGTAGGGTAGAGCCCCCTTACCTTGGATTAAAGACCTACGCCCAAACTCAACCACGGAAATACTCCCTACACGACTTTCGGCCTAAACACATGAAAGAATTTCATGAGAACCCCGAAAATTACCAAGAATAGAGAAAGGGAAGGAAAAACGAAAACCCTAACCATTTAAAACTCACCTCCAAGCGTTTTCCACACAAATTTGAGCTCCAATCTCGCTCCCGAACAGCTTTGGAGGCAATTAATCGGTGGAATAGGATTTGGGAGTGAGAGAATCGAAGGGATTTCGAAGAGAGAAGGAGAAATTACTCTCCCCGAACCCTAGCCCCCTTTAAATCTTTTTCTGGTCACGACACTCTTGCTACAACGAGGTCTTCTCGCTGCAGCGACACGTCCTCTCGCTACAGTGAAAAAATCAGAGAAAACTGCACTCTAGTTTTTGTAGAATCTCACTACAGTGAGACCCTTTTGCTACAGCGAGACTGCATCCAGAAATGCACCCCAAACTGTCGCTTTGTCGCTATAGCGAGAAGGCGACAGTTTTGGTCCTTTCTCTCAGGGTCTTCTCGCTACAGCGAGAACAGCCCAGTATCTCGCCCTGTACTTAGGCACTTAACCCATTTCAGCCCAAACAGTCATACATACACATATCCATGTAATTAATATACATAAAACATCATTATCAAATAAATCAACACACATATGAATATATATATATATATATATATATATATATATATATATATAAGAATAATAATAGTAATTAATATTACCAAAATTCGGAGCGTTACATTGTACTTACCCAAATAATTAATAAATATATCCCTTCTTTTTTAATATAACCAACATCAATTTAAGCAAGTAAGTGAGTCGATAAATCTAAAGGCAAAACTAGCGAGAATCCAAGGCAACACACAGTAAAGTAGTACCAGATTCGAGATGAAACTGAGCAAGTTAAAAACAAATGACTTGAAAGTTCCTCCAAATCATGGTAGAAGTAATAAGTTATATTATCAATTTGAACACCACGATCAATTAGGAGACCTTTACAAGGAAGTGCATTAAAAAACAATTGACAAGAAAATACTAGACACTTAGACGAGACCTTCTCTCTCTATAGCCTTTGCAAGGCGTCCACTGTACATTGATCTATACTATTAAGACTACCAAAAAGTTCAAATAGTCATGAATACGCAGATTGTACTGAATAACAAACTGAAGAATTCACCCTCCATACCCATTTATCTTCTTGTAGTATCTTAATAGAAATTCCATCAATAAGCTACAACAAAAGATTAACACTTGAAATCTCATGTTGAAAGAGTCCTTTGCGCCAACTAAAATCCCAAACACACCTTGTGTCATCATGAAAATCATTCTCTAATACACAAGATTTAACATTTCTTGCTACCATAAACAATTGCAGAAAATGTCTCATACAATCGCACCCTGTCTGCACACTTATCTCTCCAAAAAAGGGTGTGCAAACCTGCACCCACACTCCTATCCAACTTCTCATCTAGCCATGAATTTCCTTGATGAATAACCTCCAACAAATCACGCCACTATAAAGAATATTTGTTGTGTATTGATGGATGTTGAATAGAAGAAGCTAATCTGTCGTACCTAGTTTCCAACACCTGCACCCACAATGAACTATAACAATTAACACCTTGTCACAATCATTTTATGTGTGGTGCTACTCAAAATTCTAAATTTCATTGTTTAGAACACTTTTTAAATTTTAAATTTAAATTTTATTTTTTTGATTTTTTATTTTTTTGAATTTTGATATCTTAATAAAATAAAATAAAATAAAATAAAATAAAATGAAAAATTCTTAGAAATAGAAAACAGTGTATTTAAGTTGATTTTGATTGTTTTGCCCATTAGTGCATGACTAGAACTAATCCTGAGCAATTGCATGCATTTGATCCTAAAATAGAAAGAACTTAGAATAGATTAAATATATTAAACAAATTGGAAGGTAGTGTGCATATGATAGAGATAGTGATAATGTTTATAGTTTTGCTGTGCATTTTAAGTATAGTGATTCTAATAGTATAACTATGCATTCTGGTACCATGACTAATAATCAACATGAAAGAACTCTTAAAGACTTAGCTATACCAGATGTTACCTACCAACCTTTTAGCATCCATTATCCTGATGTAGACGTTTCATTTAAGTTAAAATTTGGTCTAATCCATTTGTTGTCTAAGTTTAATGGTAATGCAAGTGAGAATTCTCATAAGTATGTAAAAGAATTCTAGATAATTTGCTTAACAATGAGACCTCAAGGAGTACCAGAAAATCACATCAAGCTAAAGACTTTCCCATTCTCCTTGGATGGTGCAGTAAAGGATTGACTTTACTACTTGTAGCCAGGATTAGTCACTTGCTAGATAGACCTCAAGAGGATTTTTTTTGAAAAATTTTTCCTTACATCTAGGGCTACGACAATTAGGAAAGAGATAAGCGGCATAAGGTAGTTCAGCCAAGAGAGTCTCTATGTGTACTGAGAGAGATTCAAAAAGTTATATGCAACTTGTCTACGTCACCTGATTAATGACCAATTGCTTATTCAATACTTCTATGAAGGCTTTGCTCAAATGAAGAGAAGTATGCTTGATACAGCAAACGGTAAAGCTCTCATGGACAAAAAACCATATACAGTTAGAGCTCTGATTGATAACATAAGTTTTTCATTTTCATGTTAATGATTTTATTTCTAACATTTAATTGAGGTTTCTTAAGATTTAATTCAAAATTTTGCAACGCCGATGAAATAATTGACAAAAAAATATTTTGATGCCAATAGTGAATTAAAACATGTTACAGTGAAAAACAAATGAGTTTATTTAAAACCCAAATCTAAAATTTGAATTGATTTTAATTTTGATTAATAAATTAATATCATGATGTTTTTGAGATGTTTATGAGCGAATTACATAAGTTAGTTAAAACAAGCACATATCATTGCTTGTTAAAACCAGAACAGTTTATTTGTGGATGCCGTTATATTTTGCCAAAAATACATAAATATAATTATGAAAAAAAAAAGTTATTGACCGTAATGGATTAGAATGGTTCTGTAGATATGAGTATTTAATTGTGCACAATTTTAAAATTTTCAAAGTTTAAAGTTGTCATTCATTACAAATTGTAGAAAGAAAACTAAGAATTCGACAAAATTTCCATACTATATTATACATGATGGAAGTTTTAAAAGCCCTATTTATCGACATAGATTAAGGTTTATAGCTTAGAATAAACATATTTGGCCATCCAAACTTATTTATTTATTTGATTTATGATTAAAATTTATACTATTTCCATAATTTTTAACTCAAATTAAACTTGTGCCTGAATTAACTAATGAAAAATCATCAAGTTTGATGCAAGTTTGACAATAACGCCGCCTTTTTCTCAACCCAACCTCGCCATGTATTATAAAGATGAAGCAAAAACTGCACGAGTCGTGCAAAATAACATTAATAATCACACATGTTGGCATCCAGTCTCGTATTTAAAATGTTTTAAAATAAAATATATACAATTAATATTTTACATAAACAAATAATACATTTAAGATATAAGGTGAATAATAACTTCAAATAATACAATTCATATTATACTGCCAACGTTTGATAATTGAATTTATGAGAGTGAGCACTACACGTCAGTAACTGTAACCTGCAATTACTGCAGCGAATATGTAAAAATATAGTAACTACAGGATGTAATTGGTGCCAAAAATACAGAAAATTCTAGTTAACGGAAAACACACATTTTAAGACAATTTTGATAAAATTTAATATTTTTCAATTCTACTGCGACAGAATTTCAGACTTTATACAAACAAGCACATAATCATGGCCAATGTATACTTGATAATATAAGAGCCTAGTATAGCTATACAAGTCTACATCGCTACAGGAATATAGTTGTGGTAGCGTTCCTGAGGAGGCTGGCCAATTGTGTATGCATTAATCAAGGCCCTCCCTGCAATTACTCACAACCCCAACTCTACAATTCACATAGAGGCAATCATCTTTAAGGAATTTCGATGCCTCTAAATCTGTTTTCTTGATAAACCTCTTGAATCCCCTGGAACACCCGATATCGAGCAATCACAGCATTTACCAAACAGTTAGACTTCTCTGCTCCAAGAACCAGTATTTAGGAGAGAGTCCTTTTCGTTTTTAAAAACTTGAACTAGTATAGAATCAAGCATTAATTTATTTTATTTTTAATTGTTAATGACTATTTGTCATGAGTAATCTTATCGACTGATATCACATAATTTTAGAGTCAAGTCTTATATGATATATGTCTATTTAAAAGGTTCATTGGTTAAGGTATTCTAAATTCTAAAACATTCCCATAATATTAATGATGCTTGCTTAATTAATACTAACACGTAAAGCTGATTTAATGTAATGACAGAGAGAAGGAGTTTTCTGAAATGTTACATCCCAAATAACACGATCCCTGGCTCCTCCCCTCCTGTCCATATATTTCAGACAATAGTTTTACCAAACAATAACGAATCAGTTGATAATTTTTCATTCAGCTCAATCCTTCTCAGCCACTCCTTAGTATTTTCTAAGGGTATTTTCTCTGCATCTATCATTTTCTTCCACAAAATCTACTCCATCAGACAAAGATCATACATAATCTGCTCTCTGAACTAGACAACCAAGGTATATAGTTAAATACACCTAAATTCAACATGTAACACAGATCACACGCAAGATAACACGATACAGTAACAAGGAATGATTAAAACATACCATTTTTAACATTTTTTTATTATTAGTCTATTTTTTAAATAATTAAAATAATTTTTTAAAATATCCAATTCTGATACAAGTTTCTTTATATATTTTGAAAAAGTTTAAATTCATAAAAACATGTTAATTAATAATGAGAAGTACTTTCTTAGCACTTCTTTTAAATAATAATTTAGTAGCCTCTCTTGTATTATAAAAGAATGAAATTAGTGTATACTTTGATATAATTTATTCTGAAAAAATAAGTGTTTAATTTTTTACTTTTAAGTTAAACTAACCATTAGTTAAATTGTAATTTGGAGACCAAAGTCTATGGAACCAAAAGAACAGAGAAATTCAACTTACCACTTGCTGCCACAGCATTTCAACGTGTAAGGGCCGCTTTGAGGGATGGTCTGAAACTGGCTATGGAGCTTATGCTTCTCATTTCCTGACTGATCCAAAAGTGCCAACTCGAAAAGGGCTGTGACATCCTTGCTAGCTTCGCTGACCAATACGATGAAGAGTGACACGTAGGCAGCGTTGTCGTCATCGTTTTGGCCGTCAGGGTAACAATAGATAGCCCAATCATGGCCACCCACTGAAAGCGTGTCGGATGCAAGGTATTTCCCACTCCCAATTCCATTCAGCAAAGAGTACCTCGTAATCTTGAACTGTTGAGAACCCTTCACGATCGAGGTTGATGGTAACGATGAGGTTGTTGTGGATTCTCCAACAACCATCTTCTTATCCATCCCCAAAGTCACGGTAAGGGAATCAACGATGTCTTAAATTTGGGTATGGAATATGGATTGTGCTGCTTGACTCAACAAATGCAATAGTTATCGTCAAATTCTCAAATACTATTTGTAAGTTCAAAGCTCCCGTTAACAACTTTCGTAACTTACTTGTTAATGAAAAAATATTAAAAATTATGATATTTTATTAGTCTTATAAATTAAATTAAGGAATATTTTATATCCTTGTCATTATTAATTTTATATTATAATATATATAATAAATAATAAAATTATTAATTTATTTAAAAATATAAATATCTTTTTATTTTTATAATACTAAAAAAAATTACAATAATCAATTTAAATAAGATATAACATATTCTCTCAATTTTATAAATACACATTATTATTATTATATAATTTTTAATCAATATATTGAGAATAATTATCAATCTTTATGATTAATCTCTTCACACGCACTTCGGACGAAACAACCGAAATTTGTTCCGGTGAATTTACTGGGAGACGGGTTTGGTGGTTAAAAAATGTGGAAGATCATATTTTAGTTTGAAAAATTTCGGTTATGTTAGTTGTTTAGTGTGTGGTATTTTTATTTTTCTTATAACTAACGTGTTTATACTTACTTAAACATAAATAAATTTTAACACTACAAAATGTAACTTTCAGATTAAAAGGATATTTAATATAGTTTTTAATAATTTTCAAACATAAACTTAATAAATTTTGTTACTTTTATATTTTCACTTAAATTTATCTACTTTCATGTATCAAATTTGAGTTTTTTTTTAACAAGACAATTTTTTATAAATCTATTTTTAGATAATCACTTAATTTTAAATTTTCATATCGAATAAAATCAATATTTTATGATTACTTAATAAAAAACTAATCTCTTTCTTTTTAATTATGATGTAACTTTGTAAATAAAATTAAAATGAAGAGGATTTTTAATATATATTTTTAAAAATATAATATATTTAAAACTGCAATGTGTTGTAAGTTGTTTATATTACCAATAAAATAAGTTATTGTCAGTTGAATTAATTTTTTAAAAAATTCTTAGTTTATTTTTACCTCGCATCTCACGTAACTTTATAAATATTTTTATGATGTATAAGATGTATATTAGTTATACAAATTGAAATGATTCATAATTGATGTGAAAATTAGTTTTAAAAAAAATACCATCTGATTTATCTAATATGTGAAAAATTCAAGGTTGAACTTAGAAAGTTAATAAAATTTTGCTTCGTGGAAATTGTAATATAATGTAAAACTTCATTTGAAGGCTGTTGTATATTAATATGCTTGACCAATGTTATATGCTATACACAGCTTGCGCTAAGTCGTTCTTAGCAAATTTTAATTAAATGCAAAACCTTAACAAAATTAATTAGAAACGATATTATTAACAAAATATATTTAACATAAAACCAAATAAATCATGTCACCCTTGGTGATTCAATATTATCCAAATAAATTATCTCTAGTGAAAAATATCTGTGATTTAGATAAAAAAAAATTATATTTAATATAATAAAATAAAAAATATTACCATTTAAATATTTTTACAAATTTTTGTAAAAATACTAAAAATGCTTTGATGATGGGTAAGCTTGTTGTAGTCATTACGTGTCCAGTATTTCACACACAGCCCAATCGAGGGCACAGCTGTTTCTACAAAATACTAAAAATAAGAATAGACTAAAAACAATATAATATTTTTGTAATTAAAAAATAAAAATATTTTATTGACATTAGCAATTCCTTAGACAATTTTTTTAGTTTAAAAGAGAAAAATAAACAAAACACCTTATAAAACTGGAACAACTTTCTTGATCCACCAATCTAAAATTCCATGTATAAAAACAGCTATCATTAGTGATTAAACAATAAAAAATTATGAGTAAGTAAAACTTGAATTGTGAGAGATTTTGGCCTCGTTTATCTCCCTTCCTTCATTTTTAAAAAATTGAATCAAATATGAAACAGTTATAAAAAAGTTTTCTCTCTTTTTTTTCATTCTTTTTTCATCTGACTAAACATTATGTAGTTAGTAATTAACAAATTTTAAAAAAAATTCAAAATAGTTATTTTTGAAAAAAAATCGTTTGTGAAATTGTCCTCCCTTTTTCGTAGATCTCAAATAATTTATATTAATTGTTTAAAGGTTGGATCCTTAAAAACTAATGATTTAATTATATATATATATATATATTTTATTTTTTTCATATAAGTGTATTTGAATAATTGAATCTATTTTAATATATAAAACTTGAGTCTTTATTTTTTAAAATAATTGTTTTAATACTTTTTTTTGTCATATAATCACTTATAATGTATGTTAATAGACATCAACAAATAATTCCAACATACTACCATATTCATTAACTATTTAAAAGAGCCGCCAATAATATTGAATATCTTATAAGGCTTGAGAAATAAAACGAGGAGCACGTTAATTTTTTGTTTTTTGTTTTTTTTTTTAAAGGAGGAGTCCATGCACATATTTTAATATCTAGGTTTTCATTGATAAACGTAGCATGTAGCACACAAAAGTTCAGTTCTTTTTGTCTTTTTTTGCCGAGCCTAAGACGCTCAAGCTCGTGCGGACCATTGGTTCTACCATTTCGGAAGTTTCTGGACTAAACAATTTGATTTTATTTTTTATCTTTTCATTTTTGGCCGGAACAGAAGGATATATTAGGATCATAATAAAACCTTATTTGTTTTTTGTTTTGGGGTTTGTGGAAAATATTTAGGATTTGAGGTGCAAGAAGGGGGATAAGTGTGTATGGGGGCGTGAGGGAGGGACGAAAGGAGGAAACTTTTGGCTACAGAACTGGTCTCTTTAGCCGGGTTTCTTTAAAAAAATGGTGCAGAGTCTGTGTTTGATGGCTTCTCATGGTTACCCTCCTGGCCTTGTCTTACAGCAAGAACTGAGCTTGGCCGGTAGCAATATGAAGGTAACGTCTGCAAGTTGAGATTTTGCTGCTTTTAGATGAATTTTGCGGTTTTTGTTGTATTGTAATAAAGGATGTTGGCGTATCGTGTTGTGAATACGTTTTTGCAATATTAATATTAAATTATTACTGAATGGAATGATTTTATACTGTAATATGAGTATATTAGGGCTTAACCATGGAACTGTGACTATCTAACCTTGATACGACCACCCTAGAATAAGAGGTTATCATGTAATCTTTCAAACCATCCTTATTCATACTTCATCAAGGTTGTCTTTGAAGGAAGGAGGTTGGAGGAGAGAGTTGATTTTTTTATTTATTTTTTAATAAATTTAGAGACTTATAAAATGTTTAAGTAAAGGGATGATTGATATATAGCACTTCATTTGTTTGATTTAAAAAAAAAAAGTTGTCAAACAAGGGAATGCTTACATATGATAGAAATTTCCCCTTCCTACTCTTCAATTCCAATTTACCCTTGGTTTTGATAGCGTTAAAATTTCTATACTGACTAATAATGGATCAAAACTAAGCTAATAGTAAGGACCCCCTCAAAGTAGTACTTTTTTTTTCTCTCTGAATTTTGAACTCAAGACAGGTTTACATGGTTCTGCTACTTATTGTTTGTATGGTTACTTATGGTAATGTGGCTTAGTAGTCTGGGCAATTGTGTATGCATAAAATTATAAACAATTATTTTTTTCAAGACAGGGCTGCTCAACATTATTGCCTTCTACTGCAACAAAACCAGATCTGATCAGATATCAGGTTCCATGTCTTAAGCCAAGTCCACATGGGGAGTCAAGAAAATTCCCAAGCGAATGTTTTGATTACAATAAGTTTGTCAATGTTGACTTCTCAGCTCAAAATGCCGTGCTTACTGATGAGCAAGGTATGCTTCAGTTTAGCCAACCAGTTTTTGGTTATCTTTTTTCTATAATGTTAGATAATTGTTTTATCATTCCCATGTATTGGTCGAAGTGTAGAATATGTAAAAAGCTCAATAGTACTCCCTCTACCCACCTTGTCTTGTCTATTCTTTATGATTCTATCTCATCTTGTCATAGACTGGTCATGTGAAACTATATCACATTTGGCTAGCTAAACCACTTCAATTCTATCTGTGGATGTGATGGTCCTGCAATACATTTCAAATTTCAACATTCTCTAATTGCTTTGTGTCTTCTTGACTTCCAAAATCTCATTGAAAGTTTCATCATACAATTGGGGAGAGTTTGTTTTTGTCTCTGTTTATTGATTGTGCATCTTTCCTTCACATTTTAATTTAGTTTGAAGATATTAAATCTGATTACCAATTATTTAGAGTAATCAGTGAAGGTTGGGTTGCTCAATCAGATGTTATATGTCACTAAGTTGCCTCGTTGATGTAAAAAACCACCAAGCAGATGACAGGAATATGCTTGACACCTTTTCTTCTGTCTTCATTTACTGACGATATGGATGCTTAAGATGATTGTGCTGTTAAATCTGTTGTGTTTTTATGTTATGTACATTATTCTGATTTCTGAATAACATTATTTTTCTTTGGTTGCAGCAAACTGCTCAAATGCAGTACTTTTTGGTTTTGGCATTGTTGAAAAATGCACTAAGCATGATAAAATTTTAAAGTTCCTAATGTCTGAGACTGCAGAAGCAGGTAGAGATGGAGCAAATTTATCTTTGCTATCTAACTTGATGAAATTGCAGTCGTCAGGCATTGGTGAATCTCAGCAATCATTGTCATCTCTTATCTACCCGCATAGCAACTTCAACATCCGGAAACCTTTGCTGTATTTAGTTCAAGATTCAGCCCTTTCTTCAAAAATCACGGTTCATCCAGATGGTCAGATCACATTTATGGGTTCTGGGATTGAGTTGAAAGATCTTCTTACTGTAGTTGCTGAGTCATACTTATCACAAAGATCACATAGGGGTGAAAAGAGATCTATGCTTGTTCCACATTTTAGTAGGTATAAATATATTGACCATCTTGGCCTGCTTAAACTTCAACCAATTAAATGAAATTCTGACTGTCCAGACATTCAAAGGACTATTTTATTTACTTAAAATTCACTTTTTTTATAACAGAGTGAAAATCTAATTTTTGTTTTAAATTATATTGATCTTTGGATTAGCATCCATCATTCACATAATTAGATTTCAACATTGAAAGATATGTCTCTTTTCTAGTATATTGTCAAAATATTATCCTTCTAAATGTTTTAAAATTACCAGAATCTTTACAGGCCTTAACACTGTTGACTCTAGTGTATTATTTATGTGACGAGAAGTTCAAAAATCATGTCCACAATTTGGAAAATTGACTGTGGATCATTGATATAGGGTAAAGAATCTTAGGTTAAATCTGTAGCACTGAAGAAACTAGGAAATGAAATAATGGGCAAGGAAGTTTAAAAGATCAGCCAGAAAAGAACTGTCTTCTTGTAAGAAGCCTTAGGGAAAAAAACCTTAAATCTGAATTATTACCTATTAAATCCTTTAAGCTCCTTTGTATAGCATGAAAGCCCGAGTAAAATGAAATCCTAAGACCGATTTAATCTTTATAATTTAAAGTAGCTTGAATAAAAATAAACTAAAAGGCATAAATAACAATAGTACACTACAAAAAAGTCTGTGCTACAGAAGCATAAAGTGTACTTGCACTAGGGCAACAGTTTAATTATAATTGATCCCCTTTGTCTTGTATTAACTACTATGCATATTTTGTGTATTCATACAAGTTACACAAACACAAAAGTTAAATATACATTGTTGTCACTGGCAGAGTTACTTACCTCCTGTTTCACTTGCCTTGGCTGGGCTACAATGCTAATTTTGGAATAATTTTATCAAATTAAATATATTCTTGGGCCTTATACATGATATTCATTTTTAATTTGGTCCCTATACGAAAAAGTTTTCATTTTAGTCCTTATGTGTACAATTTTTTTTTTTGGTCCTGGCAGTTTACTGCTATTATAATATTGTTAGTCGGAGTTGTAACACTGAAGAGTTGTATTGATCAAATTAAAAGTGAGTGTTAGGAATGGAAATATTTTATCTTTGGTCCCCATTATGTAACAATCATTTTCAATTTCATCTTTATACTTCATAATAACTTCATACCTAGTGAGATAAGACTGGTTGTTGTTGTACTTCATAGTAACTTCATGTCAATCTCATTTTGTTATAATGATAACAGACAATAGGGATGATGATGAAAATAATTGTAGGACTAAATAAAGAACCTTTTTTGTATATGGACCAAGTTGAAAATGAGTCTCATGTAACCCGCAATGCACTTTAACCTTTTTATTTATAATAGCGGAAAAATGGATTGCAGGGACAAAAACCTCTACTATCACTCCAAATGTGTTGAGTTTCTGTTTGTTTTCATTTTTAAGATTTTATTTTTCAAATAAGTTTGTGTCGTATAAATGCATGCATGGTAATTATTTAGAGGGTCAAAGTGCAAATCTTGAAGGCATTTGTTGGGTGGCTCTCCTAGTTAGCAATTAGTTGTCACAACTGACAATGCCTAGGGGATTAATCTCATTGTAATTAATGTGTACGTGTGGGGATTCCCAGTCTTTGACCATTAAAAATATTAATATCTGAATGGTAATTACAAATGAGTAGAGGAAAAACACTTTAGTACTTATATACAAGAATAATGATGATATTTAGAATTGTGCAAATTACAGAAAAATAAAATTTGAGTCATATTATGAAATTATGAAAAAAAGTGGTTAAACACAAATTAAGAGAAGAAATTAAGATACTAGAGAACCAATTTGATTTTATGACAAAAAAGTTTATAACAAAAGCTATATATCTTTTATATAAATTGAAAAAATGCTGCTACAAAGTTTAAAATTTACATATGATTTTTATTGATTTAGAAAGAAAAGAGATTCATGTAACATATATTTGGGCTATACAAAACATGTATAATAGAGTAATTATAAGTCTGAAAACTTTTGGAGATGTATCTAAGAACTTTGCTTTGAGTCTTTACTTGTTTAATTTAATGTTAGATGTGCTTACTAATGAAATACAAAAGAAATTATCCTTAAATGCATGCTCTTTATGGATGACATAGTATTGATTAAGGAATTAGAAGAAGTTAATTCCAATGTTTAATTTGTACTTAACAAACATGACCTTTCACTTTTCATTCTCCTAATTTAACAATCTATTATTGTTAGCTTTGTATTAAGGAACTGACTTTTGCTGAGATTCCATATGGATAGGGTGGATATTGGTGAAGCAAAGAGCAGAAGTCATTTCTCCACATTGAAGGATCAATCTATGTTAACTGCTCCTTTAAGGAGGTAATCAGAAAATACTTTCCCTGAATGTGTTGACCTGTTTATTGACTAGTTCGTGCTCTGCTTTTGAACTGTAAAACAAACAATATGTCACCCTTGTTTAGCATTTAAATCGCTGAGCATTGCACTTTCTGTACTGTGAACTTTAATAGTTAACAAGAAAAAATACCTGTTTATAGCCAAGTGGGGTTGGGAATAAGTATTCTTTTACTCCTCCCAACCTCTCCCATCAAGAAGTTGTTTGGAAGGAGGGTTTTGAGGAGAGAACAATTTCTTTTAATTTTTAAATTAATATAATTATATGACATTTATGATAATAAATAAATGATAAACATATTATGTTTTTGCTAATCTATCATTTTATATCTTTAGTTTTGAAGTTTTATCAAATTAAAATATACTTATTTAAAGTAGCAATGTTGCCCTTCCCAGAGAAAAAGAAGAAAAACATCAAGGGGAACATGAGTTGCATTGGTAAATCTTATTTTAGGTGCTTCTTCAAACCATTGAGTCATTATTTAGGCTGCTTCATTGCCAACATCTAAGTTTTTGAGGATTAGCTAGTTGAGTTCAAAATAATCTGTTTGAGACTATACTTGCTGTTTAGTTGAATTGGTGGTTTAAATGTATTTTCTTGTTCCTGTAATCAAGCACAATCAATGCTATACAGGGAAAAAGTGCTATTGTATATTTGCATTTAGGCTTTCTCTCTTGTTTGACAAAGGGGGGAAAAAGTTTTTTTGAAGTTTGGTGCAGAAATCAATAGAAAAAAAAAACTATTCAATGAAAATATTTTTTTAGAGCACAAGAGATCATTTTTCAAAAACAAATTTAATTCAATAGTTATGATATTTTATTTTCTAAGAAACTGTTTTAAATTGAAGTTATTTTCTAGGTAACGGGGATTTTAATGGTAAATGTTTCTCTGGAAATAACTTTTTATTCAAAGAATTTGGACATTCATGCTATTCTATGTGAAACAAGTGTGGCCTTTTTGTAAGGGCAGTAGGGCATTTTATCTAATGAGGGTTTAAACATATACATCACTGTTTTGCAATTTATTTTATTCACATTTGAGATTATGGGAATAGTCCATCTAAACTGATATTTAGAATACTTGCCTGATGAGAAAGGGTTATTATCTTCTATAATTTTTTATTTTTTTTATTGACATTATACATTGGTGTGGATTTTGATCATGCTCATTGTTGGGCTGCATTATCGCTTTCATTTAAGTTGAATGTATCTACCCATTGTGAATATCTTCATCTACTGAATATTCAATGCTTGTAGTAATTTCTTGCATTAGAAATGTATAAGATTAATGCTTCTCTCATGTCTAGCAGTCCAGAGAAAGTCAAACTCAAGCCACCACCAAGAAAGAACAAAAAAGTTGGTAGGGAGAGAGATCTCTTTAAGAAAAACAGTTCACATGCATGTGAGACCCTTCTGTCCCTGATGGTTAACAAGAAGCAGTGTCCGAAAACCGCAATTATCTCGCTGAAGAAATCTGGCCCCAAGCTTCCTGAGCTCCTGACACAATTTTCTGCTTGCATTGCTGGTACTGGTCTTGCTGTCCTGCTATCTGTAATGTGTAATATAGCTTGTGGAAGGGTTCCCTTTTGTGCTTCTAACTTGTTCAACACTGGGTTCGGATTTGGGTTGGTTTGGCTTTCTTGGGCAGTAAATAAGCTAAGGGCCACCGTTGTCAGCATCAGCAAGAATGCAGGAAAGTTGGGTTTGAAAGAAGAGAAAATGATGCAGAAACTGGATAAGAGCTTAAGAGACATTTACTATAGCGCTGCAGCATTGCTAGCAGTGGTTGTGCTAAGGTTTGCATGAGTAACATCTCCAAAGATGTAGTTTGAAGAACTGTATATCATATATGGTTAATTGAGTAATGCTCAGTTATTTCTGGTTGGTTTGATGTCGATAGTGATGAATTTGGGGTGAATCAAATAGCAAAAGCAGACAGTAAGAGCAATGTGTCAGAAGTTAATCAACAATCGGTTGTAGAAGTTAATGTTCTACTTCCAATTAACTCGGGAGGCATTGTTGGATAGCATGTAATATAGAATTTTGGAATGGAATCAATAAACTTAATTTCTTATTTAATTTATTGTTAAAATTAATGTGCTGTCGAAATAATTACTTAGGTTAAAAATAGAACAACGTTTGCTCCTATACCCTACTAAAAGCTCTTGACCACCATTACCCCGAATTGGGAGGTGCAACCCACACTTGCGGAGTCCAGCAATAAATCAACAAAACCTGTGAAGTGGGGTTACAATGATAAGCCAAATTCTTTATTAATGTTTTTAAAATTGGACGGGTGAAAATGTTAATTCATAGTTATGGTTCCATTCAATATTTAATTTTAAATGTTATATAATAGAGAATAACAATTTAATATAAATTATAAGAAATTAAGTTGAGAAAATATTAAAGAAATATATTACATGGTTTATAAGATAAAAATTGTCATAATATAATTTTCATAATATATAGTTAAATAATAGAAATTCATGAATATATCTCATATATAATCTTTTATACACTAAACATAAGAATTAATTGATAGGGTGTTCGAATTTAACGTGATCTTGAATTTGAACCATAATGAGTGCAGATGTGTTGAATACTCGAAAAGAGAACTTTTGTCATCTTTAATAAAGGGAGAGATTTGTTGCCTATAGTAATTTTATCCTGTTCAACCAAGATTAAATAAGATTGCCTTTATTGGAGGATACAAATAAGATTGCCTTTATTGGAGGATACTTGTGGTCTAGCAATATATATATATATATAATTTTATATTTATTTTAGTTTTTTTCTTGAAAGTAATTTTTTTTTTAAAAAAAAATCGATTCAAATTGGTTCAATAGCATTGATTCAGAAGTTAGTTCTTGACCAGTTCTTTCTCCACCGATTTTGTGGATCGTTTTGATTGCTGACTAACCGATTTTTTCATCCAATCGGTTGGATCGACCAGTGTGGTCTGATTTTTAAGATTATGCTCTATATCCTACTAAAAGCTCTTGACCACCATTGCCCATAAATGTTTTGCATACATACAGAGTTATATAAATGATGAAAATAAGTATTTAGTTGAGCTAGTGTTTAAAGTGTATAGTTGAAATGATGTTATTTAAATAAAATAAGGGTGAGTATATCCCATTTAAGAAGTTTACTTTAGAAAAGTTATATTTATATATAATTTTTTAACATTTATCATCGTGTGCACTGGACAAGTTTTCACAAAACAAATGATTATGAGAAGCTACAAAAGTTTATAAGTAAAAGCAGAGTTTATAAAAAAAAAAAAAAAAACTTGTCTAGCAAATGACTTATTCAAATGAGTTCGTTTTTGGTTTATTGAATAAGCACATAATTAAACTAAATACCTAAATGTACTTAAAAGAATTGTCTAGCACCCTTGCTTGAGAAAAATAAAGCAAATTGTATGTACAAATATCATAACTCATAGGTCGTCAACCCTCGAAAAATTAAAGCCAAATCGTATGTACATATAACGTTGCGGCAACAAAAATAACATTTATTATATGAAAAATTACAATCGTGCCCCGTAAAATTTTGATACCCCTACCCATTTTACTCTTGCAAGAATCACCTTTAATTAAACTGTGTTAAGTGACAATGACTTTTATAGGAGAAAGACACGAATACTCTTCATGTTTATTGAGTCCCAATCGTATTCCTTGGGCCTCCATACATCTAAAATAAAAGGGATTGCCAAGAGGGGTTAGAGTTTTTGTAAGATGGAGATATCAGGGAGGGCAAGTGACGATCAACATGGGCTAAGAATTTTGTGCACAGGGGACCACTTGTTCATGAGTGAGAGAGGCGTTTGAGGGGTACAGTTAAGATGGTCCTACTAGTAGAGCATGAAGAACCGAGGTAAAGTTTGAACCACTAGTTTGATGTTTCTTTCGCTTTTTACTAATCAAGTGGACAAAAGTTTTATGTTTTTCTTTGTTTTGCATGTTAGCAAAACACACGGGTGATTGCTCACATGCCATATTTTGATTCCAATTTGGGTGGCGTGCACATCTTAATGCACTTTACAGAGAAGAATTACCAACTTAATCTAATTCGTAACGTAGATCTTGATTATTTTGACTGACACACATGATGCCGTTAACATCCCAGCAGAGGTTGAGAGTAACCCTTTTAAACTTTCTTTTGTATGGGCCAACAATTTTAGTGTTCACATTTAACTTGATGTTTGCTTAGTCAGGTGATTCAACTAATGTTACTTAACTGGATGGTTAAACGTTAGGAGGGGGGCACTGTTGGATAGCTCAATCAATTAAGTGTAGTTACTGTACGTATAAAATGGGCATTGGTATCGAGCGTAATTGGAATTAAGTTCAGGAGTGTACAGCATTAACTCGATATGACGAGTATCAACTAGCGATACTCAGACAAAGGACATCATAAGTTTGACAAAAAAAAATAAAAATACAAGATATCATAAACACAACAAACACATCATGTCTAAATCTATTTTTATCAGATGCAACCAACAACAGAGCTTCAAGTAAAAGGAGCATTATTTGAAACATCAAAGATTTGTAAAATCCAATATCAATGGCTGACTGTTAAACACATAAAGATGATTAACGAATTATTTTTCATAAAGCATAAACAGTCTGCAGCGATCAAGAGCATGTTGATAAATTATGCACTACAAAAATGAACAATGAAGATGAACTTCTCTAAAATTTACTCAATTTCATCCAACACAACCGCTTAATATTAATTTCTTGGCACACAGTTTGTAATTTTCAAGATAATAGTCAGGTACCGGGGCCTCCAACCCCTTTTGCAAATGTGTAGAATAAAAGTTGAATCACATTGCACGTATTAGCTCAATACTTTTGACACCACACCTGCACCAACTGTTCTGCCGCCTTCTCTCAAAGCAAATCTTTGTCCTGAAAAATCAACATCAAGCAGTAAAGCATAGTTTCCACTCTAACAGCATAAATGTATGTATGTCGGTGGTTAATATTCAGCTTATAGATAATGTATGATGTATGTATTGTATGGTGGTTGAATAATACACCAAAATGACGTTTTTTTTAATTCAATAAATGAAGTCATACTGACCAGCTTCAAGTGGAACTGCTGAAATCAATTCAAAGACAGCAGTAACGTTGTCTCCAGGCATAACCATTTTAACGTTTTCAGGCAACTCTACTTTTCCAGTGACATCAGCTGTCCTCAAGTAAAACTGAGGTCTATAGTTAGAGAAGAAAGCAGTGTGTCGCCCACCCTCATCTTTTGTGAGCACATATATTTCTGCCTCAAATTTCTTGTATGTTTTTACAGAACCAGGCTTGGCAATGACCTTTTCAATAGAAGGCAGCATTAGGAAAGTGGTTTCTCAAATTTAGAAATTTGAATCCAAAACTCCACAAATTTTGCTGAAACAACTACAGTTAATATACAGGTCTCTTGCATGTTGCTACAAATGTCTAACAAACAGGAAAAGCTTGATCCCTGCAACTAACCTGACCACGTTGAATATCTTCACGTTTCAAACCTCGGAGAAGAAGACCAACATTATCACCAGCCTAACAAAATGTATAAACTCCATATTGGTTTTACATATGCTCTATGTTAAATAGCCCCTGTAGAAAAAGATAACAGTAACTTACTTGTCCTTGATCCAAAATCTTCTTGAACATTTCAACTCCAGTTACTGTTGTTTTTAGAGGACCACCCTACCATCAAGGAAAACTCAGTTTTAGGAACCACCATTACAATAAAAGAAATTTACTTTATTTATCACTGAACCAATGCTCATCAACAAACAGATCATTAATCATTATTTATCACTAGTGGTAAATAAAAAATATAGGGGCAAATTGAGAGTATAATCCAAAGGAATGATGAGAATAAGAGGGCAGGTAAATATGGGAAATGACTGAATGAACATACCTGCATAAGACCCAACACCTCCACTTCATCACCAACTTTCACGATCCCTTGTTCAACACGACCAGTGGCTACTGTTCCTCGTCCCTTCAACACAAATTAGAAATATAAAGCAGCTAAAATGACATTCTGTAATCATTGCCCTTATGGTTCTTTCCAATACATGTGAGGAAATCAATGCAGATTTTGAGAGCACTTAACAACATTGAAAAATATAAATTTTGATATTCTATTACTAGGAAAAAAATAACTTCAAAATGAGGCAACAATATTTTTAAAGAATCATATTTGATTGAAATTTCACCACATTGTCATGTCACTGTAAACAGTATGGCCCTAACAAACACTATCTCTTTCCTTCTTAATTTTTTATGGTCCTAGACAACATTAATTACTATTTTTTCATCTAATTAGAAAGGCAAGTAATAAATTGCGGAAAAGCCCAAAGTTAAAAGAAGACCCAATATGAACCACTGCCCCATGTATCCTCAACTTTATAATCGCACATGCTATGGCTATTTCAACACATCAATAATTGCTATAATTGAAAAGTGAACTAAAAGAGCACAAAAGGACATTTAAAAACAATTTAATATAAATAAGGATATTAATTTATTTCTTCCAGTTTGTCATAACCTAAATAGCACTTGTAAAAAAGTGAATAGGATACATGATAAAAAAATAAAAGACTAATAAATATTGTAAGAATATTATAACAAGATCATCTTCAATGAATTCTCATTCTTTGAAAAAATAAACAAACAAATGAAGTCGAAGTCATTATACCTGAATTGAGAATACATCTTCAATTGGCATTAGGAAAGGCTTATCAAGTTGGCGAACAGGGTCAGGAATGTATGCATCTACAGCATCCATTAATTTTAGAATAGCCTTTCTTCCAATCTCTTCATTTGTACCCTGTAAAGCAGACAATGCTGAACCTCTAATGATAGGAATTTCATCCCCAGGGAACTTGTAGAAGCTCAGAAGCTCTGCCAAATACATAATTAACATAACTATGTTTTAACAAACAAAAGAACAACAGAAACTTGTGCAGGTGTATTTCATTTAATGAGCAGTGACTGGAAAGGGAAGGTGAAGCCTTAAAGAAACACCCTACCGCGGAGCTCCATTTCTACAAGCTCCAACAACTCTGGATCATCAACAGCATCAACTTTATTTAAAAAACACACAAGGGATGGCACACCAACCTGCATAATACATTTTAAGATAATGTGTACATTAATCTAGAAGGAACCTGAAAACTAAAAGAATGCTTAGATTATTTATAAGCCACTTTAACAGAATACCTACTTGGCGAGCAAGAAGAATGTGCTCCTTGGTTTGAGGCATTGGTCCATCAGGTGCAGACACAACAAGTATACCACCATCCATCTGTGCAGCTCCTGTAATCATATTCTACAGAACAGACAATTATTAAACATGATGTAATGTAACAGTGAACAGGATGAATAAGTGCTATCTTGTGATAAACACTAAATAATGCAATCAAATAAACCACCAGGTCGTTGCAATAAGGCATGCTGGAATGCCAAACTACTGAAGTTCATAGGAAAGCAGTAATCCGACAGATGCAACTAAACCATTACAATATTTTGCATGATCTATTTTTAATAAAATGTTTCGCTTATAAACTATTATGCTTTCAAGTCCCTACCTTAAATTTCCCATCTCATTTTGAATAGAAGATCAGCTACACAAGCACCCCAATACGTTAAATTCCACATTTAACAAGTAACGTACATTAAAAAACTATAACCATCTGTTGAAACTGCTTAAACTTCATTCATGCCCCTACCTATGCATAATAATTCAATTTTTTCTCTCTCAAGACACAAACTTAGCTACTCAGCAGCTGTTAGGAAAATAGTAACCAGTAATTCTGATCGACAACGCTTTTCTTGGAGAGATTTGACCAAAATTGAAACTCACCTTAACATAATCCGCATGTCCAGGGCAGTCAACATGCGCATAATGTCGTTTTGCGGTCTCATACTCAACATGTGCCTGAAAATAGAAGCATTGATCAAGCATATATCACAACAAAAAACAGCTTAATCAATTCCAAAATATAATCAACACAAGTCCGAACCGTTGCAATCGTGATTCCTCTCTTCTTCTCTTCAGGAGCCTTATCAATTTCATCAAACGCCACCGCCTTCGCTTTCCCTTCATCGGCAAGCACCTGATCAAAGCCAATTGAGTAAAAACAAACAAAGCCTCTTCGTGCCTCAACACACATTCCAACAAACATTGAAAAACGAAGAATAAGTAAGATAAAACCTTAGTTATTGCCGCAGTGAGAGTGGTCTTCCCGTGATCAACGTGTCCAATAGTTCCGACATTAACGTGAGGTTTTCTGCCAGCCAATAAATAAATAATCAAACAAGTGTAAAATGTAAATACATATAATTTTTTTGTGCGTGAGAGAGAAATAGAGAGCGAGAGAGAGTTACGTTCTGGTGAAAGTGGCCATGGATCTCCACCAGGGATTGGAATTGGAAGAAGAAGAGGTGTCATTGGGAAAAGCAGGGGCAGAGAGAGGGGAACGAGAGAAGGAAGAGTGGATTTGAGAGGTGAAGGGAAAGAGGCGTTTGCAAGTGGAAGAGGAATTTCTGAGAGCGAGAGTGGCCATTGAAGTGAAGAGTGAAAAGCCCTAAGCTAAGAGGAAGAGAAGAAGATGAAGATGAAGAGGCGAGGGTTTTAGCTGAGAACCAGAAACAAGGCAAGTCAGTGAGCGAGGGTTTTAGAATGGGCACCCGACACCGACCCGTAAGATTCGTTGCGGCCCAATTCTTGCAACCCTCACTTCATTTCTGACCACACCACCACAAAAACAAAACCATAGTCAACTATATTTCTTTTTTCTGTTAAAATTTTAGTTCTTCACCACCAAAAAAACAAATTATCTAAATTCAAAATTTTATTTATTTTTAATTTTTTTGAGAAAATTTAATGTAATTTGAAAAATGGGAATTATTATATTTTGAGTTTAGTTGTGGCTGTTCTAAGTACGTGCGTCTTAGAAATTTTTGGGGTGATAGATTTATCTTTGTTGTCTTGGATCCTCGAGAGAATAGGCTACTTTATATTCACAAAGATAATATTTTTCAAATTTCCTGCTTAATGATATCACTTTTTATTTTTCACTGTGACATGATATTATATAAGGCTTTTTTTTAATTGGTACGACGGTTCTTTTATTCTCTCCCTGTAATTTATTATTAAGAGTCTGTAAAAACACTTGTCTTTACTTAGATAAAATATTGAGGTAAGAAATTCTTATTATTTTCATTATGAGGAATATATTTTTAAATATGATCATTTGTGTAAAAGATATATACAAGCTTAATTGCCTTAATTATTTTGGACAATTTTAAAATTTTAAGCTTATTTTTACATTAAAAGGATCAGTCATTTTCTTTATGATGTAAGACTTGGGTTGGATCCATTCAAAATGTTCTACACGATATCAGGGCCCAAATAGTCTAATTACTCGTTAATGATCTGGTGAAAGACTTGAGACCTAACTTGAAGTCCAATAAAAATGGGGAAGAAATTTGACTTTTTTTTTTTCCTAAAGAGGATAACGGGATCAAGGAATAATTAATTGATTATTTATTTATTTATTTTTATCATTTCTTCATGTTAGATTAATTTCGTTTCAGCTTAATATTTAATCTTAAATTTGAATTTCAGTAAATTCAGCCGATTTAAATATTTGGAGAAATTTTTTTATCGCCTATAATAATTTTATTCGACTAAAACATGATTATTCTAGTAGTAGGTATCTCTAATAAAAAAGATTAATTTTTTTATTGATATTTTTACTTTTTATTAATATTATAGCTTCATGTTAGATTTATTTATTTATTTTTAATATAATGATAGTAATGAGATTTAAATATATGAATTTATATATACAACCTATTATCTTCACGATATTGTAGTTATTATTGACCAAAATAGAATTAATTTAATTTAGGATTACCTTTTGTTTTATTTTGCTATGGTATGTTTTATCATTTAAGACTATAATGCCATGCTAAATCATAGTGATTTTTTTTATCCTAGCCAAATGAACAAATACTGATAATTGCATATCACCTTTATTGTGTAAAATTAAACAAATGGTAATAAAGAGCATTTCAAGTCAAAATTTGATTGTTTGGTCTAAAGTTTCAAAGCTGTCTAGTAGGACCAGGGCGAGCAGAAAACTTTGCATAGTCAAAATTCTTTCTTAAGATATAAAACCTCTCCCCCAAAGATGGTTTTCAGCGCAATAATCAAGTCTAGAACTCTAGTCGTTTGAATTTGACTCAAATTAACTGGTTATAGAATTGCATACAGGGTTGGAATATAAATATTTTCTTTTCTAAAAGATGCTACTAAATATGGTTGTTCAGCCGTGGAAGAGTATATAGTTAGTAAAACAAGGAATCTTTACAATGGGAGAAAACTAAGACATTTGATCACATTCATAGCACTGCTTTGGCCAACGCAATTGTAGATTTGTCATATCATATTAGAGCAACCCCAAATTCTAGATGAGAATCCTTCCTTTTAAAATAGGTTCATTTGATGAAGGTAAACCAAGCTTTTAAAGTTGTCAAAAAGTTCAAGTAAACTCAATTAGATTATTAGATTTTTTATAGAATTCATTTAGATTATTAAATTAAGGATGGTAGTTATGAGAAATAATTAACAAACACTTGAGACAAAAAAAAAAAAAAAAACCAGAATTTTCAGAGACTCTCCACTTCCTTTTTTATATATATGCAAACAAGAATTAGGAATCGGGTTGGTATTTTCGCACTGCATTCTACAAGCAAAAGTAAAATTCTTCCAATATGTTACAACGTTGATTCTTTTTCTTTTTGGATATATAGTACAAGCCACTTACTTTCTGGGTGTAATTTTCAAGTTCAATAATTGCGAGTTGTTTTCCACCGAAAAGACATGAACATTACCTTCCCATACGGGTAGTGGAACCACGTATGCTTCCAACATGGATGCTCGCATGAAGTGATTCTTGCAAGCTGCAACTAAGCTTTGTTTATTTCTCCAATTTTGACAAAGACCTTTTGGAATCCGATACTATCTAGCTGCTCCTTAGAAAACTCTCATGTCCGTTTGTTTTTTCCTTAATGACTAAGCCGTTAAATTTGGCTATATGACATACAAGCCTTGATGTAAAAGCACTTCTAGAAATGAATTGGTTCCTACAGGGATCACAATTCAAAACGTGTTTTTATTTTAACTATTTTTTTAAAATTCTAATATGTTCATCTTTCCAAATAGACCCCGGATAAACACTATAAAACAAGCTTATGCACCCCTTTCAAGTTGCACTCAACCCATAACCTTCTTACCTTAACCAAGTTTGAGAACCATATACTTTACTCAAATTCTCCATCTTGCAAAAGAACATTTCTATCAAAACCAAACTCCTGCCTGCATCCATGGGAAATAGAAACTCATCATCAAATTCAAAGGTTCGCGGCCAAGCAAAGGTTGCTTCAGCTGAATCTGGGTATGGGAAGCCCGTGGGTCCATTCAGAAATGAACACATAATCAAACCCAAGGTGGAGCTCCCGAACACTTCGAAGGGACAGCATGGAACTGTGTATTCAGAGGAACAACGTAAGACCCCACTTGATAATGATGAAACTTTCAGCGATTTCATCAAACGTTCTAAGTATAAAATCAGAACCGTGTCCCACATTGAGGAGGAGCAGAGGAACGTTGCACCTGTGGCACCACCACCAGATGAAGCAAACGGTAGCAACAGTAAGGAAAACCAAAATGACCAGTTTTCAAGTTTTATTCAGCGTGCTAAGAAGAAGTTGAGGACTACATCAAGCATTAGAAAGAATGATTCCTTCAAGAGTGGCTAAAGGCAATGACCATTATGAACCAGGCAGACTCAAAGAACGTGGATTAGTATTATGTTGAACTTATTTGTTGAGTATAGACAGTGCATGGAAACAAAGCCCTACTAGGCTAGGGTGCAAATGTCCCTTATTTTTCTTTTTTTCTTTTTCTATTTGAAGCATAATATGAAATGTTTAGTTTATGGGAATAATTTGGATCGGTGATGCATATTTGTATAATATGTATCGATTGAGGTCTTAACATGGATTTATATTTCCGCTTATATCACCCTATTTCGATCTTTCTTTCATTTACATTTGTCGAAATCGGCCTTTGTTTTCAGTAGAAGGTGTAAATGAATCAATTAAGTTTGTAACATTTGACATGAAAACTTAAAATTGAATTTTATTTTTATTTTACAAAATTAAATTTATTTTCAGTCAAATCCCTTCCACCCCTCGAAAATTTTTTTTGAGCAAAACCAAAACAAAACATGTCAATCCGTAAACTATTTTGGAATATTTGTTCCCTTCATGACTTACGTTCCTATATGCACAATGTTTTTCTTTAAACAATTTCATTTTGTACGATCACCTAAACTTAGTTGTTTCGAGCCTAGAGTAGATCGTTATCTATTTAGTTTCACATAATCACATCACAATCCAAACTCACTGAGGTTTAAGCTCTAATGTCGTTGTCGGGTGTGGAATATGGGATCTTGCATAACTCTTTCTTCACATTTACCCAATACATTGTCCTCTTTGCGGGCGACAGATCGAGTAGGTAGTACTTTCCGTCATTGAGCATTAAGCATACGTGGAATCTCGAATCGTACCATAATCCAACATTTTTAATGATGATCCTATGATTATAATGATTATTGATTTCTTCGCTACCTTACTGGCTTGCCAACAAGCATTTTTAAAAGAAAGACCCATAACATGATTCATGTGTGTGTTACTACTAATATATATATATATGGATGCTTTTGGCATCTCAAGTAGTGAATAGTTATTATTACAAAGGTTTCATGATATACCGTAATATGTCTATTTTAAATTGATGCTTTATACTTTTTATTGGGTGTCGCTGTACAGATTATAACTTAGTAACCCTTGAAGTTTTTTCTTTATCGCTGTACAGATTATCACTGTAATCTGATTAGTGTTTTAAAGGCATTATTTAAAATAGTAATATATTATAGATTTAAAAAAACACATTGAAATGCATTAGAAATTACATGAATAAGTATCTTTTTAACTTTTTTTTAATAAGAAATACTTTAAATTCCTTAACTAATACCCTTTAATATTTACTTTATAAAACAATAAAAAGATTATATTATAAATATGTAGAAAAACACAATAAAAATCTTTTTAAATGTGAGCTTTGTTAATGTAAATTGAGTTTAAACATTCAAAAGTATAAAAATTTTATAAAAAAATAATTATTATATTAAAATTATAAATATATAATAAATGCTTTTTTTTAATAAAATATCATTATATACTATTAAAAAGAGAATATTTTTAAAGAATATAAGTAAGTTTACAGTGATGTCATAATTAAATCTCATATTAGAGAGATTATAGTAGGAAATGTAATACCTAATATACTCAGTCGTCATTACGGAGATAATAATTAAGTGCAATATATAGAAGTTTAGACGAGCTTTACAATTAACAATCGTTTTAAACCAACATGTTGTTAATTTGTAGGCGAAATTATTTATAGAAAATAAAAAGAAATAGTTTTAATGGCAGTTTAATTGTTAGAATTTAAAATAAACTGATCTTAGGACTTAATAGAGATAAAAGGTTGAAAGATATATAGGAGGCATTTTAAGTAAAAAGAATTTATATTATTAAAGGTGAGAGACATTAATAATGATTATTAGATCAAATAATTAACAAAAAAATAATCATTATTAATATCTTTCACTTCTCCTAACAATAAATTTTTTTCATTATATATATAAACGAAAGCAAGCATCATATGAAAAGGGAAACGGAATTTTCAATCATATTGATTGGAAGTGCTATGTTTTCTAGAGCTACACGGAATGACATGCTCTTTTTCTGAGGTGATATGATAAATTGATATTATTTTCTTTTTAGCTTCCTTGAACCATACTAGAGCTAAAGCATATTCCCTTTGCTGGCAGTAATCCTAGCTTTTCAATATCGATAAGTAACTTAAAAATCTCGTAACTTAAACTTTTGGACAATTTGATTAACAGATTTAATTATGAGAAATGCGGATTGCTCACAAATTAATATTCAGTAATGAAATATTGGCCATTGATCGGCCACAAATATACCATTATTCATTTTGAGAAATTCAATTTAGATTAAGTGTGTGCTATGGTATCCATAAATTTTATTTATGGATACTGTACCTAAAAAATTTACACCAATAAAAAAAAATACATGACAAGTTAAAAAATATTATTATATATAATTTATTTAAAATTATATTATTTATTACAGAATTCTGTTATTGTATATATATTATATATTAAATTTTTTATTTTATTTTTTATTATTTTTTATAAATTTTTAGTTTTAAATAAAATATAATTTAGATTTAAGCAATTTTTATTTATTATAACATAATATATTAATATAATAATTAAATAATTAAATATTAATAATAATAGAATTTAAATATAAAAAATATATTAATATAATATTATTATTTTATTTTTAAAATTTATTTTATTTAGTTTTAATTATATCATAATCATTCTTCAACTTATTTAAATATAATAATTTATTATTAAATAAATTTATTATTTAAATATGTATTTAAATATTATTTATTAGAAAATTTTATCTACGATACTCTGAAAATTTTTTAGGATACAAAAAAATTTTAGCTTTCAGATATTGTTAGGATTGCACCGTTAACTTTAGTAAAATTTATTTCGTGTTAAATAATATATAAGTAACTCTAAGAACTTTTGTTGTCGAATCGTCAAAAGATGTTGGCATTTCATATAGTTATTAATGTAATCAGTGGTTTTTTTTTAAAAAAAAAAATAATGTAACAACGATTGAGCATCGCTTAGAGCATCGCTTAGATCAATTTTACATGCACTTGATGAATTTTACACGTTTCGTGAAACTACTATAAAGTAATGATGGTATCCACTTTTACACGTTTACTATACCAAACTATAAACGTGACACTCATGAAAACTTTAGATTATAAACTAGCATATGAGTCGCTTTTTCAGGGCCTCGCCGCATTTTTTTATACAAACAGAAATTAAGATTTGGGTTGAGTTTTATTCACAACAATCCAAGAGCTTGCAAAACAAATCTAGCAATATTATATTAAGGATTCTGTCTTCTTTTTTTTTGTAAGGTGGGACACTCATTCTAGCCTTAATTTCAACAACTGTGAGTTGTTTTCCACCGGAAAGCCCATTTATTTCCATCGGATAACCAGTGGAATCACGTTAACTACGTATGAAACTCGCATAAATGTGATTCTGACATTGCAACTGAGCTTTGTTTATTTCTCCAATACTACAAGTCTTAGTTGAATCCGATACCGTCCAAGTACGTGCCACTTTGAAACCCCTGTGTGTGTTTGTTTTTCCTCTTTTCTTTTCCAGGGGTGATCAGCAAAATGTGGCAACAAGTGCTTCAGATACAAAAGCCATAACGTGACTTATTAGTTTCGAGTGTGTTAGGGGACAAGAAGGAATTGATCCCTTCCATCACATCCCATTGAAAATAAGGGGAAAAGAAAAGGCTCTATAATTATTCGCTGTAAAGTATCTTACCCATATGATTTCTTCAAATTCAATTGGTTCCACCTACAAATATCACAATTCAAAAAATGTTTTTGTTTCTTTTTAAGTTATCCTAGTTTTTTATACACCCCTCGATGTCACGCATGGATAAACTTTACTATAAAACAAGTTTCTAGCACCTCTGGCAAGTTGCACTTAACCAATAACAATTTCCAAGTTCAGAGTTTTAGCCAGTTTGAGTGTACCATATCCTTCACTTTCCATGGAAAAAAACACCACCTCAAGATCCTCTATATGCTGGAAAATCCGTCAAGCATTTGCAACCAGTCCTGTTTTCAGAGCCATTCATCGCATCAAACACTATTACCAAGAACCTAAACATGTTATCACTCATTCAAATTCTCCATCATTACCACCCTCCATACATCTCCCTCAAAACATGAAGGCTAATAACCAAGGAGGAGCAATCCCAATCATGTTTGATTACTCAATCCCTACATCCACTTCAATGGTCCATGGTCAGGTATCAAAAGTTGCTTCTCCTCAGGCTGGAATATCAGAAAAAACAGGCAAAGTTGGTGCCAAGGTTGAAGCTGAACTATGGAATGTTCAAGGATATAGAGCTGGTGTATTCAAAGGTGAGCATATTGTCAAAGATACTATATGCCCTTTGAAGGAACAACAAACTCTTAGGAAGCTGCACTCACAACAAGAAGGTAAGAAAACACTAGATATTAATGATACTTTTACTGAGTACATTCAACGTGCCAAGTACAGAATCAGGACCGTGTCAAACGTTGGTCATGGGAAAAACAACTCTGTGCCAGATGAGACTAATGGTAGTAATGGGAATAACAACAGGATGGAAAACCAAAAGGACCAGTTTTCAGATTTTATTCAGCGTGCTAAGAAGAAGATCAGAACTACATCCAATATTGGAAGGACTAGTTCATTGAAAAGAGGTTAAGAGTTAACACCGTGGACATCGAACCAGGGAGCACGGTAAAGAATGTTGATCGTTAATAATGTTGGTGAGTTGAAGTTGTTCGATGTGTTGGACATCTAATATTCGTTATTGGGTAGAGTGGATTGAAAAATAAGGCCCTGTTGGGGTTTGCAAGTAATCAGATTTTTTCTTTCAATAATCTTCTTCTATCTTGCCTATCTTTTGAAATGGGAGAGCATGATAGTGACTATAGTAAGGAGAATAATTAGGATTTAATGTTTTTAAAATATTGTATTGATTTATTTGCACGAAATATATGTTGAGGTCTTAACATTTATCTGTACTTCTGTTTTAATCCATCACCTCCTCCATTTTTACTAAAGTTTATTTTGCTACAATTTCATTCTGGGGTATGTTAGAATCTTTTTATGCTTTATTTTGGATGCGAGATGAAATAATATATGCATACATATATATATATATATATATATACACACACAAGAGGATGAGAAATAAAGTAGAAATAAGGTGGAAAAAAAATTGCTCTCTCTCCCTCCCTCCCTGCTCCCATCCAAACAGTAGAATTTTTTTATCTTCCTTTCTATTTCTCTCTCTCCCTCCTGTTTTCATAGCTTCCAATCATGCTGGTAGTGTTTCTTGTATTCCACAATTTAATAAAGGTGGCAAATAATTTAATTTAAGCAGAAGCAATTTTCTATTTCATTTGTTGGAATAGATTGGCCCAACCTAATTGTTAAAAGTAGGATTCTCCACCTGTAAGGCCATTTTAGTTGCGATAATCATTACCCATGTACCGAAGGTTGAAGACTTTCATGTCTCTCCGAAGTGTCTACGTTTTAAAAATATGAATTATTAGAGTGAAAGTAATATTGTGGCATTCAACCATGATAAGAATACTTTTTCAAGGTTACTTCAGGTAACATGTGTGTTCATTCTGTGCCTCGGGTCTTTATTTTGCTTTGATAATAACTTAAACATCCTAGTTTTTTTGCAAGTATTTCATCCTAACTCACTTCATCATCAAGCAGTCCTAAAACGATTCCTCTTAATAGAATATCAGAAATCTTCGTATAATATCACTCATATAGAAAGTCATGGTTCATTTTCTCTGTAAAGCTGGAATCTGTCATTTTATTACCTTTGCCTTTAAAATCAGATTTCCCACAGGGTTATGTGGATAGGACATAGCAATCTCGTAGAGAACTTTAATTACTTAGGCATTCAAAGAATTGGTTCAATTAATATGATATAATCTTAAAATATGATGAAGTTAAGTAAAAAATAATTATATTTTATTCTCTGTTCCTTTTAAAAGATTAAATGTAAATAATTAAAATTCGAAAGGCTAAAATCACACAAAGTTAAAGTATAAATACTAAAAATGCTATTAAGTCAAATAAAAACCATCTACTAATTTTTTTACCATTGTACCCAGGGTAAAGTTGATTGCTTAAAATGTGAAGGGCTATGGAATAAGATTTTCCAGTACTAAAGAGTAAGACATTTGCTATTGATCATAAGGATGACATTTCTCATACAATGCTATTTGCATTTCTCAAACAATAATACCATGAAAGTGTCAGCTAAATCATTACCCCTTTCCTTATCTGCAGGTCCATTCTGCATATGGTAAAGGCATTGTTGATCTTAACAAGTAACAACAATATTTACATTAAAGCGTCAGTGTTCATATTGGCACCTTTCAGACCCCCTCAACTAAATCTCAAGTGACTTGTTTTGATAATTCAGTTATAAACATGTAATCAACAAAAGTCCTTTGCATGGCACATCACACATATTCGCATCTTGGTCACAAGACAATGTATCGGATATATCCTTAGATGTTCCTTCAATGTTCTGACCTAATTATAGATACCAACCTACAACGTCAACACCAATCTTCCCAAACGAAAAGCAAAATAAAAATAAAAATGAGTAACTCCATATTGATTAAAATCAGTCGTCTTTTTATAAAAAAAATAAGTGATCCCATTATTCGTCTATCTTTTATAATTTATCAATGTCACAATTTCATGAGTGACCCTATTCACGTGAATTTCCTACAATCAAATCGAAGTTCATATAATTGTGTGTGTGTGAACGATCTCCATCTAATAATTGGATGATAACAATAATATTCACACACATGTATGGTATTGTTATCAGAATTTAATTGGAATTCCTTGATAATGTAAAAAAAAAAAAACTACCCTCTTGTCAAATCATAAATTCTCATATAAATGAAAATTATTAACTTTTATAATAATTAAATTAAAAATTATATCTATTATCTATAAATATTTCAATTATTGACTTTTAAACTTGTAGTTACCTCTCTTTTATCTTGCTGTTCTCTCAGATTATCTCGTTATTATATCATATTACTTATTACATCTTTCCTTTATCTTTTTTTTTTTCACTAGTTGTATACATAGAATGAGTGTATGAGGAGCATTTTCCATTGAATAATTAACTTTCTTTGAGGGCGAGATATCTTGATTTTTCAAACAAAGGACAAGAATTTTTAAAATAAACTTGTCTTTAAATAAAATAACTACAAATTTAAACAAAATAATTTTAAGTAAATTACAATTCCAATCGTGCATGCAGTATGCAAGATGATTAGAGTTTGAATCTAAAGTCTTGAAAAATATCTGTTTATTTTAGCAGTAAGTTAAAATTGAAAGCTTTTTATATAGGAAAATATTTTTTGATCCACAAGAAAATCTTATTTTGGGTCCAGAACTATGAGAAGCACAAGCAATCTGAAGATATACAGGGTCCATGGATTAATTGGAAACTTCAAGCCCAAGGAACAGGGTTTGGACAATTAGTCAAGGGGGAGCATGGGGGGGAGGTGCATTTTTCATTTCAATTTTAATTTCTTCTATTAGTATCTCCAAAAATTAATATTCCTAAAGTCGATCACAAGAGTGTGGGATGCGTCCTTAAGATCATGAATCTAGTTTGGAATAAAATTTTTGAGTAAATTATGTTGACTTTATGAAGGTTTTATAAAATGGCACTTCCCCTCCTTTTACACAGTAAAGTATGCTGCATCTCATTTTGAAGCAGAATTACGAAGCAATCTATTTATCTACTGCAATTGACCAAACATGTAGTGTGATGAAGTGTTCTGTTTCATCCTAACTAGAAACCGTGGTTCTTTTTTGATAGTTTTAAAGTTTTAATTTAAAACCAGTCTAAGCCTAATAATGAGATCGAACTCATTCATCAATCATCGTTGTCTTGTCCATGACTGTCTGCGAACATTCGCGTTTTTAAAATTAATTTTAAAAAATGTTCTTATTTAAGTTAATTTTTAAAAATATTATTATTTAAGAATAATGATTCATATTTTATATATAAAGATAAATTGATGTCATATTGATAAATTTTAAAATAAACGTAAAAAGAAATATATTTATTTTTTAATTAAACGTAGATATAGGTTAAAATTTACTCCACTAAAATTTAAAGATATATGTTTTTCTAATAAATGTATTGGAGCTTGTATAACATGATAGAATTGACATGCGCGAATGCGGGGAGGGGCAGGTGGTCATTGAGGCTAACTACTAATAGAGGACAAACGACCAGCCCAACAAAGACGTGAGATGTCGTTTTTGAGGGATGACAAGTCAAATCCAAATTTTCTATGTATACTATAGACGACACTTGTTGCAATCATTTTTAGCCAAGGAAGAAGAGGGGGGAATACTAGCATTAACATGTTTATCAACAATACGTTGTGAAATTCGGTTCAAACCAAAACTAATAATCGCTTTCAGATTATAAATGTATTTTGTCATACGTTTCATGAGGTTTTTATAATAATATTTTATTAATTTTTAAATTTTTGTACCACTTTTTACTTAATTTACTCTTCAGTGCAACATATTCCGTTAGTATTGAATTTTTGAAAAACTTTCAAATAAATCCAATGGGATCATTTTTAAATTATGAAACTCATAACACCATCTAAATTATTTTCAGCTCATTTGTGATGTGATTTTCGTATGTATATGCGATAAATTTTTATTGTTCCATATAAAAAAAGTATAGACACCGTTTAAATTAAATGGTATTAAAGCAAACACTTTTGTATTAAAAAAATTTTAAAACTTTTATGATGAATATGTAAGTGTTTTATTTCTTTAGAAAACTAGCAAAACTTTTAAAATGTTTTATTTTTTTTTTCATTAGTTAGAAAAATAAGTTCAACTAATAATAAACACGTATATATAAAGTAATGTTATTAATACACTCTTTAATATATATTTTGTTGATTAAAATTTATTTAAAATTATAAAAATAATAAATTTAAGAATAAAAAAGAGTATGAACTATATAATTTTAATTAATAGTAAAATATATATTAAAGATTATGTTACTAGTATTAATGATTTGTATAGTACTTCATAAAATAGGAGTATTAAATTAAGAAAGTTAGTTCGAATAGCGAGTAATTCGGTAACCTTTAAATAAAAATTTTAGTGAGAGTTTTTATGTATTAAGTATTGTAATAATTATAGTTTTTCAATTTACTTTTTAATTTCTTTTGACTTTTTGAGAACAGAAGAATTAGATATAAGTTGATAATGTATGATAATTGTTTTAATTTTAATTTTTAGTTTCAAAATTCTGAATACCCAAAAGTCATTTTAAACTTAAATATGGTTATTTTACTTAATCAAGGAACAAAATTCTTACAACGTCGAGTTTTTTTTTTTTTTTTTTTCATTTATAATATTCAACCAGAAACTTTGCTTAAAAAAGTGGAGTTTTTATTTTTTATTTATTGTATAAACTCATTATAATACTTTTCAAAACATGTAAAAAAAAAATTTATATAGATCACGATTTGAAATATCAATGACTAATTTGGAATTGGACTTAATTGAGACACAATATTTGATTTTGTTTTGAATATTTAAGAGGAGCAGAAGGGATTGAATTAAAGTCTGTGGATGGAGATGTTTCTTTCACAAGAAAGGTCAATGGCTGCTGATTGCCACCGTGAATGACTTGGACGAACCGCTTCCAGCTTCAAAATGTAGAAACTTTCTAGAAATGAGAACAAACTCAACTACATTGGATCCTTTTTTATTCTTTTTTTTTTTGGCTTTTTCTTTTTCAATAATTTATAATTTTG